CACAACAGGTACTTTCAAATGGTAACTTTCAACAATAAAGTTGAATAACACAATAAAAAATCAAAATAGTATCACTAACTGGTAAATCACATGTCAAGCATGTCACAGCTATGGTAGGAAAGTACTGCCTCAGCCCACTAGCAGCACAAATAGTAACTTCAAAGTTGAGACACAAGATTTTCTGACCAGACCAACTGAGAATGTTTTAAAAGTACTGCTGCAGTGCCTAAGGCATGTGACTGCTAACCAGAAGGCCGGTGGTTTAAACCCTCCAGCCACTCTTCAGAAGGAAGACTGGGCAATCTACTTCCCTAGAGATACTGCCTCAGAAACCAAAGGAGGGGTCGCTATGAGTCAAATCGACTTGACGGCAATGAGTTTGGTTTGGTTTTGGCAAAAAGAGTAAAATAGTGAAAAAGTCATAGGGCATTCCAACTGCTTTGTATTGGGAGGCTGTGGTGGCACAGCAGCTCCTGAGAAAGCCTTTGGAACACTAAGCTAACCCCATCCCAACACCATACTTTACAATGAAAGCCTTCTGTGTAACACACAACCTTTCATGTAAATTTTCAGTTGCAGCAACAGGGGAGGGAACAGCACACTGCCCTGGCTCTGTGAACACCGCTCACCTGTAAATGTCAGCAGGAGTCCTGATGGTGGGCGGCTCATGGGCAGAATGAGCACCACCAGAACCACTCCTCCGTTTACGTTTGGCTTCCTCCTTCTTTTCACTGAACTTTAAAGTGGTATTTTTTCCAGTATTTATTCGAACCTAAACATTCCACAGCACAAAATTAAGATCCCTTTGGGAAATTAAGACCAAAACTAAAATCAAAATTCAATAATTAAAGAATAACAGTTTAAATTTTTGACACTGAAATGGCATGCACTATCTATCACACAGGGCAAAAAAAGTCCCTAATTTAGTAAAACAGGTCAAGGATATATCATACTTCCCAGCATTAAATTACATCCTCTTTAATCACCAGCTCTAGTCTTCAGTGACTTTATTATTGTATAGAAAGCAGAACTCATCTACACCAAGTTTTTGGCCTCGATCTTGTATTTCAAAACAAAGTATACAATCAGCCAAAATAAATTCTCAGTGAGAATACAAAACCAAAGTCATAAAGTAGTAACAGATAATGCCGAACTATTTAGAATTTGTGGAAGACTTCTAATTTTTAGAAACTAAAGGACTAAAAAATAAAAACCAGCCCTGTTCAGGATGAATGTTACTCTTCTCTCCCTACTCAGCATTTACATCACACTTTTCACATTAACAACTGTTCTTCCCCATAACATGCCTGCAAATATTATTATTTATTCTTCCTGCTTCAACTAACAAAAATTAGAAAATTAAAAGCCTACAAAGAAAATCACAAAACAAATTTTTTCTAGTTTATCATCTCAGTCATTTTTTTTCCCAGGGAATTTAGGAGATGCTCCCTTTAGGAGCATATTAATATTTTAATATTAGAAAGTAGTTAAAAAAAAAAAAGAAAAATCATGTTATTTCACATCATAGTAGTTCAAGGACAACTTAAGGAACTAAAAAATATCACACGTTTTAAACCTGTTTCATTAAATAGTACTCACAGACCCTTGAGTCTGATAAAGGCTATCTCCTGTCATGATACCCTGCAGCAGGAACACTAAACTGAGACAAAGGAGTCCCTGTTCTTACTAACTAGCTCTATGGTCTTCCAGGCCTCAAGTTTCCCTGAGAAAGACAAATGTGAAGATGAATTCCCTGTGGCTCTTTAGAGTAGTATATGGAGCAGAGAGAGGCCAAGGGAATGGGCTTACGGCAGCCTAGCCTTCCTTCAACCAGAGTCAACCTGCTTTCATCTATTTTAAATACTGGGATTCTACAATAAGTTTGGAGGAAACAAAAGGCTCTTGATACCAAAAAAAGCTTGAAAACCCTGTAAAAGAAGATCTCTACAGTCAACCCCAAGCTCTGAAATGCCAACATTCTGAAGTTATGATTACCCACAGATGTTTATATTTACTTTGTCAGAAAAGGAACTAATTTTTACTTCCTCCTAAGTTTTCCCTTTTTGCTCACGATGCTCCTATTCACTTTCTGCCCGCATAGAAAACAACAACCTGGTATAATTAAACATTTAATTAATGCAGTCATTTTCAACTTCCTAAACACATCAAAACTCCCACAAGATTAACTTTAGGATTCTTAAGAAAACTCTCTGGATAAAGAGTAAGAGATACAGTAGTTGCCACTCAAATCTGATCCCAGCCAGACTCCAACACCTCAAATTCTACTGTGGCTTCAGCAAACAATGGACCAGTACTAGTTAGTTAACTACACTTTAAAAAAAAAAGTAAATTGGTGAGAACAAAATGTAAGAGATAGTTTTCTTCTCTGGCACTATCTGCAATATTAATCATTATTATGTTCTTTTAAAGAATATCATAAATGATGTTTAATGTTCAATTTATATGCAAAATAGTAAAATAAATTTAAAATGTACAGACCTTCTTAGGTTCAACAGTATGAGAAAAATATATTGTTGGTACAGAATTATCTCCAACCCCTAAAGCATCATGTTCATTTTCAATGTCATCATCTTCATCATCATCATCATCATCATCTTCATTACTGTGATAAGAATTTGAACCATTCACTGAACAATTCAAGTGACTATTCACTTGACCATTGACTAGTTCTGAATCATTATGACACCCGCTGGGAATAACAGAGTCTGTTACTTGACACTTCGTTTTCACACGTGTATTTTGATCCTCCTTTTCCTCTTCAGAAGAAGTTGTATCTTCCCCATTTGAAATCACAGTACTAGGTCTACTAGTAAAGAAAATGAGAAAATTAGCAAGGTCAAACACACACATACACTAAAATTTTACATATGTACAATATTGCATATTTTATTTCAGTGAGTAAAAATTAAGATTTTTGAATAAGGTGTGCAGGTCGTTTGTCATTTTCCACTAGAATTCTAAGTTAAAAAAGCAAAAATGTTCTAAAAGAAATTAAGTCCATGGAAGAGAGGTCCAATGGATCTACCATCTCAGGACCATAGTACTGGGGGCACCAGACTCAATTGGCACAACAAAATACATAAAGGCCTTGTTCCTCATCCTGCACTGGTGAGTAACGACTGGGATCTTAAAAGCTTTCAAGCAGCCATCTAAGATGCACCTAATGGTCTCCTAGCATCAGAAGCAAAGAAAGGTGCAAAAAAAAAAAAAGGGCACTTGGAAGCAATCAGCCCTAGAACATGACGGCCCTGAGACCAGAAGAACTAGATGGTGCCCAGCTACCAATGCCAACCACTCAGGAAAGGATCAAATCTGGAGATCCTGGATAGAGTGGGAGGGAAAATGTGGAACAAAATCTAAAAACTCAGTAATGATCAGAATTACTGGTTGGATAGAGTCTGGTGAGACCCGGGATACTATAGCCCTGGAATACATTCTGCACCTGGAATAAAACTCACTCCTAGGGGCTGGCTCTCAGTCCAATAGTTAACAAGATGTACACGCCACTCAACCCAGGGGTACGCACCCACATACTCTATGGAAATACACCCCTTGGAGCAATCAATGAAGGAGCACCAGAGGGGCAACATTCACATGGAGGTAATACAGGGCAGATAGGAGTGCATAACTATGAGGGACACAGGGGAAGGGTTACTGGCCAGGGAGGGGAGGAGACTGGGTTAGGGTTAGGCATGGTAAATGGGGTGTGAAACTAAATGTACATGTAACATTGAAATGTAAAACAAACTCTTACAATAAAAAAAATAAATAAGGCCAAAGAAAGAAAACATTAATTCCTACAGCAACTGTGTGGGTTAGTTATTCAAATAGAAATAGAAATACGTGACGATAGCCAGGAGGATAATGGCCAGACACGATAAAAATAATACAGGAAGAAATCTGTAGGAAATCCACAGAGAATACACATTTCTATTTAAATGCCAAAAATTAAAGTCACAGAATGTGCTCTTATTTTCTACCTATTTCTACTTGGACTATTTTAAAACAAGCATGTATATATACTCATATGAATATATTTGTAATTAAATACAAATGTCCTTTCATCAGCCTTCATTCTATAAAAGATTTGAAAGCCTTACAAGAGTAACAAAGCCCAAAGGCAAAAGAACCAAAGTAATATGCAAAACAGAGAGAGTAACGACCAAGAAAACCACAAAAGTCAAAGTTGCTTAAAAATAATGAAATAATAAACGTTAATCAAAAAGACCAAAGAATTTATAGGTGCAATGGAAGGAACAATACCTATCCTTTCCACTTTGTGTCCTAGTTTTCACAGAAACCAATTACAGCATACCAAAATAATACAGGAGCTTCTGTAGTAACAGACTTCACTTAGCACTCTGACAATTCTAAGTGGGTGCTAATGTGTATTTCAAACAGCAGTTTGGTAAAGTTTCTCATACATACAACCAGCTGACCAGATTACAAATCACCTGCTCAGTAAACAGGGAAGTTTGCAAAAGGAAAA